GATTGGTTGGCATATAGCTTTCCATAGTATTCTCTTTTAATCTTTTGTATTTCTGAGGTGTCTGTTGTAATTTCTCCTCTTTCATTTCTGATTTTACTTATTTGAGCCTTCTCTCTTTCTTTCTTGGTGAGTCTAGCTAAAGGTTTGTGAATTTTGTTTATCTTTTCAAAGAACTAGCCCTTGGTTTTATTAATTTTTTCTATTGTCTTTTTAGTCCCTATTTCATTTATTTCTGCTCTGATTTTTATTATTTCTCCTCTTCGTATTTGGGCTTAGTTCTTCTTTTTCCAGTTCCTTTAGGTGTGCCGTTAGATTGTTTATTTGAGGTTTTTCTTGTTTGTTGAGATAGGCCTGTATTGGTATAAACTTCCCTCTTAGAACTGCTTTTGCTGTATCCCATAAATTCTGGCGTGTGGTATTTTCATTTGCATTTGTCTCCAGGTATTTTTTTGATTTCTCCTTTGATTTCTTAGTAGACCCAATCATTGTTCGGTAGCATTTTGTTTAATCGCCACATATTTGTGGCTTTTCTGATTTTCTTCCTATAGTTGATTTCTAGTTTGATATCGTTGTGGTCAGAAAAGATGCTTGGTGTTATTTCAGTCTTCTTAAATTTATGGAGACTTGTTTTGTGGCCTAATATGTGATCAATCCTGGAGAATGTTCCATGTGCATTTGAGAAGAATGTGTATTCTTTGGTTTTTGGATGTAATGTTCTGTATATATCTACTAGGTCCATCTGTTCTAGTGTGTCATTCAAGGCCAGTGTTTCCTTATTGATCTTCTGTTTGGATGATCTATCCGTTGGTGTAAGTGGAGTATTCAAGTCCCCTACTATTATTATATTTCTCTTTTTATGTCTATTTCTCTTTTTATGTCTGTTAATAATTGCTATATATATTTAGGTGCTCCTGCGTTGGGTGCATAGATATTTACAAGTGTTATGTCCTCTTGTTTGCTTGTTCCCTTGATTATTATGTAGTGCCCTTCTTTGTCTCTTTTTACAGTTTTTGTTTTAAAGTCTGTTTTGTCTGATATGAGTATTGCTACCTCAGCTTTCTTTTCATTGCCATTAGCATGCAGTATCTTTTTCCATCCCTTTACTTTCAGTTTATGAGTGTCTTTAGGTCTGAAATGGTCTCTTGTATGCAGCATATATATGGGTCTTGTTTTTTTATCCAGTCAGCCACCCTATGCCTTTTAATTGGAGCATTTAGTCTATTAACGTTTAAAGTAGCTATTGATAAGTATGTACTTACTGCCATTTTTTTAACTTTTGTTTCTTGTGTTTTAGTAGTTCTTCTCTGTTCTTTTCTTTCTTTTTTTTCCTCATTTTTTTAAAAAGTTTTATTTATTTACTTATTTATTTTTTATTGTCAGAAACATCAGCCCTGAGCTAACATCCATGCCAATCCTCCTCTTTTTGCTGAGGAAGACCGGCTCTGAGCTAACATCTATTGGCAATCCTCCTCCTTTTTTTTTTTTTTTTAATCCCCAAAGCCCCAGTAGATAGTTGTATGTCACAGTTGCACATCCTGCTAGTTGCTGTATGTGGGACGTGACCTCAGTATGGCTGGAGAAGCGGTGTGTTGGTGCGCGCCTGGGATCCGGACCCGGGCCTCCAGTAGCGCAGCGCGTGCACTTAACTGCTAAGCCACCGGGCCAGCCCACTCTGTTCCTTTCTTCTTCTCTTGCTCTCTTCCCTTGTGGTTTGATGGCTTTCTTTAGTATTATGTTTGGGTTCCTTTCTCTTAGATTTTGTGTATTTATTATAGGTTTCTGGTTTGTGATTACCATGGAGTTCATATATAGTAACTTACGTATATAGCAGTCTGTATTAAGTTGATAGTCTTTTTAAATTTACCTCTGTACGAAAGCTCTACTCTTTAACTCCCCTCCTCCCACTATTTATGTTTTTTTTTTCTTTTTCTCGGTTGAATTTTGGGGTTTTACTTTTTTTTTCCCCCTTTTTTTATTGATGTTTTAATGGTTTTTAACATTGTGAAATTTTGGGTTGTATATTTTTGTTTGTCCATCACCATATATATGACTCCCTTCACC